GAAAAGGAGACGACCTTTGCTTCACAAGGCTGTTTGATACCAGCCACTGTGCCTAAGTGATAATTAATTTTCCAAGCCTTTTCACTTCAAAACCACCATTGAAAACAATCTGTGACATAGGTGGTCAATGCCACTGCTCAGACAACAATGTGAGCCAAATATACAGACACATTTTGATATTTAATGCACGACTATGATTTTCCTAGTCTATGAAAAAGAAAAAGAAAACCTTCTATTTCACTTGCAATTTCTTATCAAGCTTTGAAGTGCCTAAAATAAAACAAAGAAACAAAACCCCTGAAAATTAGTAATAACTTTGAACTTTGAAGCATTAAGCAAAATTTGATGTTTTGGCATGGAACTTTTGACATGTCTGATATAAGTGTGAGTACAATTGTGTTATTTGTCAAAAATTAATGCCATTAAGGTCCGGGAATGTAAGTGCTGTTGATAGAGATGTTATTGTACATTATAGCATTAAGTGTTCAGAACAATCAACAAACAACAAGAAAAGAACAGGCAAACAAACTCCTTGAAAACTGCAAAGTCCCGAGGTCCAGGTGCATAATGCTACCCTCTGAAATGTATCTGGGAAAGAATTTTGAGAATCTGCCTCTTTTCGTTCCTCTCAGATGGTTGAAATTTTGATTTCCAATGATGTTCAAAATATTTCTAGCAGTCATACGGTTGCCATTTGGTTTTATTGAAACAGTGCAGAGAGAGATGGGTTACTAGGATAAACAAAGAGGATTCAGAGAGCTATTGATTCAAAACAGACTCTTTTACCAGCTTCGCACAGATTCATTTTGCATTTGCAAAGCATGGTCAAGGAAGTTAAGCCACCAAGAAAAATGTACTGTGAATAACACAGGACATTTAAAGCCTTGGAAAGATCAGAAAATGAGAGTAGAGGGCAGCAGTCAAATACACAGATCATGTTTTATTTTTCTCATTAAATTACCTTTCTAATATCAACTATATTACTTATTTTCCAGCATCTCTCCAGCAATAGTTACAGTAAAAGGCATGGCCACTTCAAACATCTGACAAAAATGCTGCAGTGATATTAAAGTTTAGCTCTGACACATGAAGTAAAGAGGCATACTAACGGACAGAGTGTTTTGTAAACTGTATTCCTTCTACCAGAGAAAACCATCAAGTTCGGATTAATGTAAAAAATGTCCTTTACTAATAGATGAATGACAACGTATCCCAGTGCGTGCGCGCGTGCGCGTGCGTGCGCGTGTGTGTGTGTGTGTGTGTGTGTGTGTGTGTGTAAGATAGAGAGGTTTAGAAATTGAGGAGTTGGGGGAGGGAGAGGGGAAGACAGATCCTCTCTTCACCAATGCTTCATTCTGCAGTAGTTGGTGTTAATACACTTGTGGTAAACTGGAGTGGAGTAATGAAGGGTTGGGTCTTCCCAAATTCACAGGAAAATTGGAGGGCTGTCACTTTTCCATATAAGGGTATATCCTGAGGCAGAAGCTGTGCAGCTTCACCTTAATAACAGGTGGTTACTCCTGGATGATGTTACCGTTTCAGACAGAGAAACGAAGCACTCTCTTGGCCACTTTAAGAATGATACATTCTTGAGATTTATAATACCTGCTGTTTATGTCTCACTTTTCCCCCCGCATTCTTACACTGACTTGAGTACTGAGAAGACAGTACTCTCCCAAGATGATTTGTTTCAAGACGCTTTATTGCCAAGGGAGTACGGAACCAGACAGGAAAGGGTGACCCACATTTTAGAAACCAGAAAACACACACAGGAAATTATAGCTTACTATTTCTGTAAATGTGAAGGCCAATTTTTATTGTCATTACCATTTTATATTGCAGCCGTGATGGCTGCACACCCCCATGCTTGATTCTTGTGGCTTCCAACATCACAAGAGCACCTTGAGAAAAATTACTGTGCACAAATCCCCACTGAGCACTATTTACTCAAGATACAGTACAGAATTTCCATGAAATTACCCAAGGGTTACTGCAAAAACGAGGTGTTGAAGGAACTATAGTCTTTCCTTTCAATCTTTCTTTAAGATTAGTTATTTGTATTAATTCTTAAAATAATAGTGGTCTTTGCTTTTGTTTATCAAAAGAAAATGTTGCAAATCTTAACATGTCATCTGAACTTTATCTCAATCTTAGGTAAAGAAAGAGATGGGAAAGTGATATGTACATTAAAGCTGGAAAAAAAGAAACTAATAGTGCCTAAATGAGGTTAAACAATAAATAAAATGAATTTAAATATATTCTCACTGTCTAAAATGTACTTGTAATATCTGGGCAAAGAAAATCAGTATTAAAGAGCCAGATGTGTTAAACAAAAGAAAAACGTAGAACGAACTTTAATGTTAAGTAGAACTAAAATAAACACATTTCATCCAAACAAGATCATTGTGTTTTTATTTTCTTAAATAAAATTTAATGGACAGAATAAAAAATTCACAGAAAATCATACCAGACCATAAAAAAATATGAAAATGCATATCTACTGTGCTACCTCCATACATTGAGTTTTCTGGTTTCAGGTCACCAAGTCCTACTATTAACTTTAGAGAATGTGTAGGCCTCCATGCATCTACCTTTACCACATAATCAGGTGACACAGGTATAGCATATTAGACACACTAGGCTAGACATTAATTATTTTTTGTCTAGTTCTATAAGGTACATAAACCTTTGTAATGAACTCAGAAAACCTGAGGGTTGCTCTCCTAGTGTTGTACTCCTGAATTTAAGATTATATTACACATAAGGGTACAGTGAGGACATGAGATTTTTGAAGTAGCTGATCTAACTGCATGTGTAGCTGGAAACAAAATCTCAGATGTCAGGAGAAATCAGGAGAGAGGAGAGAGAGAGAGAGAGAGAGAGAGAGATCCATAAAAGATGAGATATTGAGATGAATAATTTGGAAACCACATGTTGAGAGTAGGGTATTTGCACATCATGCTAATTGAATACATTAATTCATTTATATAACCACATATACTCAGTACTTGGCCATTGCCATTAGTATAGAATTTAGTTAACTTGGCAGACAAGTATCATTATTATCTTGACTGTTCTGACAAAATCAAATTGATAGCAGTATGACACTGCTGTGATCAGATCACAAAAGAAGCCTACACCAAAGCTTTCACTTACCATTTACAACCCCATTACATACAGCAATAATAACAAGATGACAGTTTTGTTCAGAATTCAGCACTGATCTTTTTTTTTTTCAATAACTAGTATCTCAGCATCACAGTAAGTCCACCAGTGCTTCTTTCACCCGTACAGGAATTTGCAATTCATTAGTCAGAATTTTCTGTATCTTAGGACTTACATCATAGTAATCCATCCCAGCCTTCATGCTTCTTAACTGTCAACTTCTACCTGTCCTTTTATTTGGGTTGAATTCTGATTTTCCCACCTTTCTATAAGTCCAATTGAGTAGGGTCCAGAATCTTTAAATACTCTCACAGGCCGTTTTTATTATACTGCCTGTATTTAGCAGGTAATTTGAAATGACAGATGTCCAGTTTTGTTGATACACAGATACATCACAGATTGTGAGCTTTTGTAAAGCAAAGGACACAGTCAACAGAACAAAAAGACAGCCTACAGACTGGGAAAAGATCTTTACCAACCCTACATCTGACAGAGGGATAATATCCAGAATATATAGAGAATTCAAGAAGTTAAACTTCAACAAACCAAGTAACCCAATTTTAAAATAGGGTACAGAGCTAAAGAGAGAATCCTCAACAGAGGAATATTGAATGGTGAAGAAACACTTAAAGAAATTCTCAAAGTCCTTAGTCATCAGGGAAATCAAATCAAAACAACTCTGAGATTCCATCTCACACGCATCAGAAAAGATAAGATCAACAACTCAAGTGACAACACATGCCGGAGAGGATGTGGATAAAGGGGAACCCTCCTCCACTGCTGGTGAGAATGTAACCTTGGAAACCACTTTGGAAATCAATTGCCCCTTTCTCAGAAAACTGGGAATAGTGCTAACTCAAGACGCAGGAATATCACTCCTGGGCATATATCCAAAAGATGCTTAACCATACAACAAGGACATTTGCTCAATTATATTCATAGCAGCTCTATTCATAATAGGCAGAATCTGGAAACAACCTAGATGTCCCTCAGCAGAAGAATGGTTACAGAAATTGTGGTACATTTAAACAATGGAAAACTAAACGCTAATATCTAAAGTAGACAAATCCTTTAGCTATTTCTTTGTGTTTTAGATATTCTGAAACACTGATAAAGCATAAAATAGACTAAATATTTTATAATGAATTATGGTAATCTATTAATGCATTTTAACTATTTTTATGGTTTGTTCAGATTGAAAGATATACTTCCAACCCATTACCAATTAATTTTTAATTAACAAAGTATATCTAAGGAAGAAGTGACTTAAATAAACGTTATTAACCTAATTATAAATGATAAACCATTATAGCAATGCATAATAATGTCTGACTCTATAGTTTCTAGGATACTGTAAGCTATGTAGTTATTTCTTAATATTTACTTGAAAAATAACAGGAAGGAGAGAAAGACAAGTAAGAAAATGTTGCAGAAAAAAAGAAAAATAGAATGTAATGTGCAAAAAGAAAAAAAGTAATTTTATAATGATGACACAGGGAAAAAAATCATTCAAGAGGAACAAATGTGAATTAACATACATAATTCTACCTGTACAAATCATTTGCCATGTAATATAGCATGTGTGCTACAATATTGCCCTTTGCTCATATTACCCTATACATAAACTATCAAATATAATTTTATGAATGTTGTTATTTATATCTACTTGTTTCATATAAAATAACCTGTTTCAGTAATCGAACAATATTACCTCATCTTCCAATGATTACATCCACCAATGATGACTGATGTTCAAAAAATACCAAGAAGAAGAGATAACATACTAACAAATTACTTACAAAATACGTAAAGCAATATAGCAGATTAATGCTTACCTGGATATCTTTCCCCGCCCATTTGCATTCATCTCTCCTAGTATAAGACACTGGCCACACAATCTAAGGACAGAGAAAAATCATTTTTCAGGTCAATTAAATTTGCCAAGAGTCCCAGTATTGTGTGCCTTTCGCATTTGTTTGGCAAAACTAAGCAAAATAGATGTCATATGGAGGAATCTTTCAAATGGTACTTTCTCTTCACGGTGGCTATTGTATTTCTGTATACCTGTCACCCATTGTCCCTCTATGCACTACTCTTTGCTCCATGTGAAACCAGAACCGAGAGGCAGTTAATGTGATCCATAAATCTGAGCAGTGCTGCTCTGTGGAAGGAGCTGCTACACTGGGTGGGGAAAGAAGATCACCAGGGAACACCTGAGGATCAAGGTGAAAATTGGCAGAGAACACAGCTCATTTTCTTCTAAATTCCCTCGGTATTTTCATGAGATAGTGATTTTGAAGATTTAACTCTAGGGTACTCTGAATAAATCTCTCTGAACCTAATTTCAGGATGGCATGCTCAAGTGAGACCTGAAATGTTTGGAAAACATAGCTCACGGTGTAATGGTGTAATTTCTTTCTCTTTTGCTCTCTTTCTTTCCCTCTCCATCGAAAAAAAATGAGGAATATTTAAGAATAACAACATATGTTTTGAGAAGATGAAAGTGGAAACAAAGATAAAAATATATAGATCTGAAAAACTGCTTCCTTGACTGGGCTTGCTGTTTTTTTTTTTTTTTTGTTATAATCCAAGTACTTGGAAGGCTGAGGCCAAAATATTCTCTCCAGGTCTACATATACCTCATAAGGCCAAAGCCAGGCTAGTCTACATAGACATAGTGAGTCAAGCAAGCCATGATTACATAAATACTGTAAACTGGGCCAGCTGAGCTTCATATACACAATGAGTCAGGACAGTTACCTGGTAGCTGTATAGTGAGTAATATTCATACATACGTATGTACGTACATACATAGATGCATATGATAGAGATATAGACAGACTGAGATGGACAGACATATAAGTGACTTCATGACGCCTGGGCTAGGCTACATGTATAAACTACTTATACATAGTGAGTCAGGCCAGTCAGAGCTACTTATACACAGTAAATCAGAACAAACAGGGTTACCTGGCTTGGAAGACTGTCTTCGTCTTACAAAAATAAAACAATGAAAACCCTCAAAACTTAACACCAGTTAATTGATTTTGTGTGTGTTTACATTCCTAATAATTAGTCTTTATTCTTCCAGTGGATTTTGTTCACTATGGATCTGGTCACAATAGATGAACCAAGATGCTATTGGTAGAATCGTAGACAGCTGAATATATATTCTTTATGGTAGCAACATGAATACTCTCCTCCAAATTTTAGCATAAAAATTTCTAAGTGCCATGGGTTTTAATTTTAACAGGTTCTATGTCCACTGGGTAGAACATCTTCTTATTCTTCCATCAGTTTTATTTTCTTGTAATATTTGTTAATTTCGGGTGCGGGATATCACACATTGAATAAAAATCCAGAGTCAGTGGCAGTTCATTATTTATGTGTGCTAGAAAGCTTTTAGCTTCAGGATGATTGATCATCATTCATTTGGGGCTCCAGGATAATTTACTGTGAATGCTCCCGAGCTCAGGCATTTGAGATTCCATCCCCGGGAATTGGAACCCCAAGTGCAGATACTTATAAACAAGAATTTAGGAGTTATTGAAATAACATAAGATGCCTGGAGAAATGCATTTAAGTTCATGTCACAAATATGATGTTTAAGAATACAATGGGTATGTGTCATTTTTTTATCATCACGTTTTTAATTTGTGTTTTCTTCTAGGTAATTTTTTGACCCGTATGTGTCTGTATGTCTAAATAAAAACTGACATTAAACCAGTTCCACACAATGTAGTCACATAGTAAAAAACATTTAAAGATAGTTTATCATTTTATGAATGAACATTACTCTGAACATTAACTTTCCAGAGGAGTGGCAGGACAATCCCATGGCCATCCGTGGTCAGGTTAGCAATTGAGATCAGGGTAATTTTTCTTATAAATTTGAAGTTTACAATGTTTGAGGGTAAGATATAACATTTCTTCACCCAACAGTAAACTGAAATTTATTGAATGTCATAGCAAACATCTAGTTAAGTTGTGTTAAAATTATAGAATTTTATACATCTATATATCTCACAATGTTTTGTCACAGTTTTCTAGCCCTTGATTATTCTTATTAAGCAATTATTGTTTTTGTGTGTGTGTGTTTTTCACATCTGTCATATATAAATAAAATAGTTTATTTATTTTTTTTTATTCACTTAAACTCCAGTTTTTAATTTTCTATTTTTTAGAAGTGCTTTTGTTCTGTATTCTTTTTTTTTTATTTTATTTTTCTTTTTAGTTACATTTTGTTAACTCTGTGTCCCAGCTGTATCCCGCTCCCTCATTCCCTCCCCAACCCCACACTCCCTCCCTGGTCTCCTCCCTGCCCCTTTCCAAATCCCCTGATAGGGGAGGACCTCCTCCCCTTTCATCTGACCCTGTTTTATCAGGTATCTTCAGGGCTGGCTGCAAAGTCCTCCTCTGTGGCCTAACAGAGTGCTCCTCCCTTGGGGGGGGGGGGTCAAACAGCCTGCCCTTGAGATCCTGTTAGAAATAGTTTATAATCACAATAAATTTCATTTTTTTTCTTTACTCGAAAACTAGTTAACTATCAATGTCTTAGTTTCTGACTCCACTATTTAAAGTATTGATGTTGTGCATGCTGATGTGTGTAACCAGAAGTTAATGTTGGTTATCTTTCTTAATTGTTTTCAACTTTATTTTTAATGTAGGGTCTGTGAACGGTGTAATCACAGCTTTGCCTAGACTGGCTGACCAGCAAGTTGCTCATTTCCCTTGTCTCAACTTGGCAAAAGCCAGGATTACAGGAGTGTTTTATGATCCTGGTACTTCATGTGGGTGCTGTAGGCTCAACACAGGCTATCATGCTTGCCCATCAAGTACTTTTAGGGATGAGATATTTTACCTGCCCTAGATTTGTTTATTTTTAAACAATACTACATTTACATTCTTGACAAACTCTCCTACTCCTTTCTTCCTTTTCCCTCCCTCCTTTCTTTCCTTCCTTCTTTTTCTTCTGTTTCATTTTGTAGCTCTGGAAATTAAATACAGATCCCTGAATATATTAGAAAAAAACTCTATGCCATTAATTTATAGTTCTACCCTTATTATGTACGGTCCTATTAATAACATACTAAAAACAGTATGTTTATTATTTTCAGGAATATACTATTTCTTTGTTTTTTTTTCAAACCCGATAATGCAGTTTTGCCTAAAACAATGGTTGGCGTATTAGTTACCTTTAAGTTAGCACATTTATCTCTACTATGCCTTGTAAAATCAAGAACTATTTATGACCTTCTATAGCATGTCCTATAAAGTTCATCAAAATATTATTTATATTTGGTATGTTTTCATGTTTAGTTAAGCCATGAACATTAAAATATACCAAAAATAAATATGCACTTATAAATTGAGTTTATTATTTCTGTGATACATAATAATATGATATATCTAAAATTATTTTTTATTGATGAGATGTGTGACTCTACATTATTAGAATATAAATTTCAAACTCAAGGGCAAGAGCTGTAACAATAATACTATGACAATAGTCTTGACACTTCTCATTTATTTATTGACTCAATTATATTTATTAACAGTCTAGTGTATAGAAGACACTGTTGCATGTATGTTGTATAGTTTATGGCCTGTGATAACTTGTACCTATGCTATACTGAGATATGGCTCTTGAATTTGTTTCACAAAACTCTCAGATTTTGATATGATGATTTGGGTCTTTCAATTTTTAGATACAATTTATTTCTTTACGAAATTTATAACATAAATGTTAAATACATGCTTTTCATAATAGGCAATGTATGGTCATATGCTATCTATCTATATCTACATATCTGTCTGCTTATCTATCAATAAGATAGATATATATCATCAATCTAATCTACTATCTATCATCTATGTACCTAAACACACACACACAGTTTATCCTGATAATTTAACAAATATCATATCCAAAAGTTAAAATCAAAATGTACTAAGTTTCTAATTCACTTCATAAAAATGAGTACTTTGTATAAAATAGCTACAGAAAATTTTTCCTGATTTTGTGGCCATTTTAAAACTCCTTGAAAGACACATTTTATCATTTGTTATCAGCTGACGACATTTAAAAATCACTCCTTTTCAAAAAATCAGAAATAGATGTACCTTCAATATATATTAATATATCATTTTTACTATAAAATATCTTCTATTTGAACTGCAATATTATTATTCACTAACAGTCATTATTATATTATTAATATTATTATTCATTAATAGTATTGATAGTAATATCAATAATAATATTCATTAATATTCATATTAATTCAAGCTTGTTTATACATCACTGAAATTTTGTATTTAGATAATAATAATAATAATAAAATAATAATAATAATGACAGATTTAAAGTTATGTTTCCAAGCCAAAAAAAGTGTTATTACAGTTTGTCCATCCAATTGTCACCCAATGTGTTCTCCAAGGTGTTCCACACACTGCATTAATGCTTTCAGTGGTAAAGAGACAAGCCCATCCCAATCAACATGCTTCCTGCAGCACACTCAGAGTTTCGTGGAAGCTGCTATAGAAAGACTTTCTTGCTCAGGGAACTAAGGGTAGAAAACTAAGAAAATTTGTTTGACTATGGCCAGCATATAGATGTAGCAAACCAATTTTGTCTCCTTTGCCAATCTGTTTGCTTAAATTGTTATATAGTCAATTTTGCATAATAAATTTAAATTCCATATAGTGAACTTAAAATTCATATGGTGAATTGAAGTAATCCAGAAATCTAAAGGAATGTTATTAAAAAGAGCATCCTCCTGATATCTAAGATATCTACATATAATATATACAGATATATGAGAGTGCCTATATTCAAATAAACAGTATGTTTAAACACAAAAAGGTGATTAAATGGTTCATGTGGCAATTAATTGATGAACCCTTAACTAGCTGGCAATATGGAAAGATGAGCAAACTTACATATACATAGCTCATGAATTCAGTTACAATGCATTTCTCTAACATTTTAAGTTCTATGGCATTTTGCGCAGTATTTATTTTGTATTTATTTTGCGCAGGAAAAATAAATACTTCTGGAAGGATAAGATAAATTTTTTAAAAATAATGACCATCAAACTACCATGATTTTTTCCTGTTGAAATTATGGCGTACTACATCTATTAGCATATTGTTGTCATTTGTTTTTTTTTTTTTTTTTTTTTTTTTTTTTTTTTTTTTTTTTTTTTTTTAATACCTCTGGGAAAAAAAAATCTTTTGAAATAGTTTTTCTGTACATTACCCTGATGTTAAGTAACTGGTGAGTATCATAAAAACTTCAGTGTTTTAAACTAATTAGAGCACATGTATTAGAATAAAAATACCTTTTGAAAGTCTTTAATATTCACCAAATTGAACGAAAATATATGATCCTTTGCTCCAACATACAGCCTACTCCGCTCCTCATCCAGAAGGAAAGTATGATAACTGGAGCTGTTGGACAAGCCATTGAAGGCAACCACATTGTTGGATTCCAACATTTCTGTAAAGGAACAAAGAAAGACAGCGGGTGTTAATGTGGAGGCCTTCACTGACAGGCACTATTGGTACATGGTACTCTGAGGCTCTACTGTCAATGGCAGTCAGTCTTAGGATTCATGGTTAAGAAATGCATAGGAATCAACATTTTTCATGAGTCATCAGAATTAGAGTAAGACTACTAAGTGTGTTGATCTCATTCCCAAGATGACACATGCCTGAAGAACAAAAGGATAGAAAAAAAGTTGTAATAGAAGGTGGTCCAGTGGAGTATCTTCATGGATTCATGGACAAGGAGGCCATTCTCCAGTGACAGGTTTCTAAAGGGAAGGACCAGGAGATCAGAAAATAAAGAAGATAGATAAGCTTGGGATCAGGAGGTCATGCACGAGCCATGCCTTATTCCACACAACTTTATTATGTACATTGGACATACACTTTTCAGGAAAAAGAGACATAGTAAGCATAAAATGTCATACAATGGGGCAAAGTCATCAGGAAGCTACACAAGCAATGCTGTACAAAGGGAACAGTGTATATATCAAGGGAGTCAGAGGTTGAGTCCTGAAAGCCTTGGGACTTACACCATAGCCCTCCAAAGGAGCTAGGAAAACATAGCCCCTCTGAGGCCTTGGCTGCAGGCCATGACTTGCCTTGCTAAGTAAGTGCCTGGCTTTAGACAAGGATCTAAGTTCCTTCTCTGTATGACAGAGCCTCAGGGAATGTTCTGAATCAGCCTGGCCCTCAACAGAGTAGAATGGTTGGTATTGTATACGCACTGCTTTAATGGTCTGATGACTCAAGTGTTTGTATTTGTTCCAAGCCATTAGCTGCAAGAGCATTATGTGGTCAACAAGTTAAAGAGACTGCAGACCCAGAATCACTTAACCACCTAGGTTGTTTTACTAGGATATTTCAATATCTTTTTTAGCTTTTTATATTATTATTATTATTTAGTACAATTTACTCACTTTGTATCCTGGGTTTAGCTGCCTCCCTCATCTCTTCCTGCATCCAGCCTCCCTCTATCCCCACCCATACCTCTCCCCTAGTCCACTGATAGAGGAGGACCTCCTCCCCTACTATCTGACCTTAGCCTATCAGGTCTCATAAGGACTCTCTGGATCCTCTTTCTCTGTGGCCTAGTAAGATATCTTTTGACTATTTAATTTTCTATATTATATAAATACTTTGTAATATTTAGGAGCTAAAATATAGAGACATTAAATCATTTATTAAAATTGTTCTTTTTTACACTTTCTTATCACATTTTATCTCTCTTGCAGGACCTCCATGGGATAAAAATACTGCAGTGCTACAAACTAGGCCCTAAATTTGTGTCCAGTGTTCTTCCGGAACATACTTAATGCAAATAACAAGATATTTAAATGTGAATCTATAAAACACAGGTTTTTCCTAGGAAAGAAATAGCAACAAACATTGTCTCTTCCTTAACCCACAATGCACAGGAAAACAAAACAAAACAAAGCAAACCTAGGCATGTTATAGATTGCCTTGGTTTATCTATGTCTCTACCTTTCTACTATATATGTATACTATATACATACACATATATATTATATTAATATTAGGTCAGGGCCAGAGTCATTTCCAATTAGGGTACCCTATTGTACCTATCCTTGTCCTCTGGAATGCAGGAACACATCATCTTCTTTCATGCACTCTTTGGCCTTTGATGCCATTGTTGGTGACTCCTACAAATACATGGTATCTTTAAAAATGGCATCTACTCTTACAATCCACCTCACTTTTCTCTCTAATTTTAAAAACTATAGCATACCCTGTGGCCAGGGAGTCCAAATTTATGTGTAGTCAAACAAACTTAGAACATGAGCTCAAACTGGGTAGTGGTGGTACTTGCCTTTAATCTTAGCACTGGAGGGGCAGAGGCAGAGGCACGTGGATCCCTGAGGTCAAGGCCAGTGTGGTTTACAGAGTGAGTTCCAGGAGAACCAGGGCTACACAGAAAAACGAGGTCTCAAAAAACCAAAACCAACCAACCAACCAAACAAACAAACAAACAAAAAAACATCAGCTCAGCCTAAATCAGTTTTAAGAATAAATAAGCAATGATGGCAGGTTCATCTAAAACACGGATCTTGATTACAAACACATAGGAAATGCATGAGAGAGCTGTAAGTCCCAAGTATAAGAAATTAGAAGAAAAATAATTGCTAATTTTGTGTGAAGTTATCCTGTTATAAGAGAAGGACATCGCCAGAGCACCTTTGTATTAGGAAGGCACCCTACAAACAATTCTTTACCCATTGGACCTCAGTATTATACAAGATGGGATGAATGATATGTCTCCCCAGGATTATTAAGAAGATGATGATAGAAAGGCCGTTTACATAGTACACACTCAATTAAAGATTGGCTGTAAGTACAAGTAGGAATTACATATAAGTATGCCTGATCATAGGGATTAGGGCCCATACGGAATGTACTTTAAATAATACACTTTCATCTGTCTTACCAAGAGCTCTGTATTACACACTTCACCACTGTGACAGATGCCTTAGCAAAACGACGTAAGGGAGGATATATTTGGACTAACGGTTTCACAGGTGGCAATTCATGTTCTGTTGGTTTCATTTCTTTTAGGACCATGGCAGGAAAAAGGCATCATGGGTGAAAGGCACAGCAGGGAATGCTGCTCACCTGGTGCTGCCCCCGGGGGTGGGGGTGGGGCAAGGGTGTCAGAAAGGACGAGCGGCAAGACGCATCCTTCGAAGGTATTCCCTCAACGATGTAATATCTACATCCAGGCCCTGCCTCCAATCTTCCATGCCACACCCAGGGCTGTCACAGTATGAATCCATCAGTAAATGAATGCACGGATTTAGTCCTAGCCATCGTAGCCTAGCTCCTTCTCAATGTGTGACTTCTCCTCCTGGAGACTAAGTCTTCAACACAAAAGGGTTGAGGACACCCTATTCAAACTAAACCAGGGGCTAACATTAACTCTGGTAATTTCATACAGGGAAGAAATAAGTAATAAAAAGTATACACAATGTTGTATACTAATGCTGAAAGTACATGTAATATTATTACATATGTGGCCTTGGCACAGTCTTCATTTTAAGAAAAATGAAGTATTTTTGTTATTTTATATATCAATTCAAAATAATGAGGATGACTTTGTACACTATAATTTAAAACAATGAAAGGATCCTTCCAACTGAAAACTATGTTACTCGCTGAATATAAGTTTGGCAAGAATTATGCATTTCTAACATACAGACAATTAAGTTTCTGGTAGCTCACATATGAAATCACCCTGGAAACAAACAACACATTTAAAAATTGGCCTGTGAATTACGTTCATTAAAAAAGAGTATTTTCCTGAGTAGAAATAAATTATTTTTCATTGTTCTAAATATATCAGCCCATTATTCCTAAATTACTCTAATAAAAGCCTTTGGCAAAGATATGCAGAAAAGAATCTTTTCCTGACCCTCATGTAGTAATCAAGATCAACTTTCTATATGGATTCCTGAGTTCAAATCAGGCCCCTTTCTTCCACCCAAATCTGGTTCTCAATATTCTGTACTCTTTGTTTAAATATATTTTCTTAGATGTTCACACACTCAAGTGCAGTCAACGGTGAATGTTTTCAACTCCAGGCTACTTTGTCTTCATTTCTGTTACTTAAACTTTACAGGGAAACACACTGCTGTTGGAGCCAAAACAAATTCTCCGTAATGTGAGATGCAGAGTAAAGTTCCTCTAACTTTTCATGTCTCTCCGGTGCTCACACTTTATCAAATAGCAACGGATGGCATGTTTTTATTATTATTATTATTTATTACAATGCATTTTGTATCCCAGCTGTAACCCCTCCCTCGTCTCTTACCAGTTCCCACTACCTCTCCTTTCTCCCCCTATGCCCTTCCTTTAGTCCTCCTCCCCTTCTATCTGACCCTAGCCTATCAAGTCTCATCAGGACTGGCTGCATTATTTTCCTCTGTGGGCAACAAGGACATTTGCTCATCCATGTTCTTAGCAGCTTTCTTCATAATAGCCAGACTCTGAAAACAACCTAAGTGTCCCTCAACTGAGGAACAGATACAGAATCTGTAGTATATTTACAAAATGGAATACTACTCAGCTATTAAAAATAAGGAAATCATGAAATTTGCAGCCAAGTGGATAGATCTACAAAAGATCGTCCTGAGTGAGGTAACCCAGAAGCAGAAAGACACACATGGTATATACTCACTTATAAGTGGATATTAGACAAAAAATAGGATAAACACACTAAAATCTGTACTCCTAAAGAAGCTATTTGATGGCCTATTTTTAAGAACAACATTTATTTCCGGGTATTTGTGTGACCAGAATGCATCTGAGTGGACTAAAGCTTTTGTAGTGGAATTAATTATTAGGCTTATAACTTAGTATCATTGTGAGACATCATCATTTCTCCTGCGATACTGAGAAGCAATCGAAGGACTATAATCGAAGGTTTCTTTTCTAATGTTTGAAAGGTAAGTTTCAGCGAACTATACATTTTCCATGATGTGTTGAACATTTTGATGGAGACTACAGTGATGGTAATTCCATAGCGCCCACACCCAGTGAGCAATGCTATCAACACTGCAGCCCAGGAAAACGTAGACAACAAGAAGAAAGATGTAGGGGGCTTGGTAGGAAAATCATTTTTTTTTTATCATTTTTAACAGCATTGAAATCAATAATGGATAGTTAACATTCTCTTTTAAACTTTTGAAAACAGCCCTTCTGAAATCCCAGACTTGTAGATTCTACAGACTTCCATTTAAACTCTCATCGGAATGAACCTCAGATCCCCATCGCAGAAAACCCCAAGCTATTCAAATACACCTCCTTTTCTGTTTATAAGTGTCCTGATTTACCTTCCTGCTTCCTTTTCTATCACAATTTTCTTGTGATTCCTTTGAAAAGAAGCAAACAGAAAATAATCATAAAACATAATCACCAGAAGCCATTACTTAAGATACTGAAAGATGATTTTATAAGCTACCATTCCTTAAACTTTTTAACATGTATCATAAAAATG